ATAGGGAATTCAAGTTTTACATTGAAATACATAAGAAAAATCTTTAAAAATCTTCTACTCAAGAACCACTGGGCCAGAAAAGCTGAAACTTTTATGAAAGCATCCTGGGGTAGTGTAGATTCTAAATTGTAAAAATCATGACCCCCGGGGGTAGGGCGGGGCCACAATAGGGAATCCAAGTTTTACATTGAAATATATAAGAAAAATCTTTAAAAATCTTCTTCTCAAGAACCACTGGACCAATAAAGCTGAAACTTATTTGGAAGCATTCTGGGGTACTGCAGATTCTAAATTGTTCAGATCATGACCCCCGGGGGTAGGGCGGAGCCACAATAGGTATATTAAAAGGGGGAGAATCTGGTAAAGAACAGCATGGCCAAAGTTACTCAGGTGAGCGATGTGGCCCATGGGCCTCTTGTTATGCCCTGTCATGAATATGGCCGAGGCATATAGTGTTTGTCATATCCAACTTCAATCAAACTTCATATGCTGATACATACTGATGTAAGCTTTTCAACTGCATCAACCTTTTTGACCTTGACCTTTCCTTTGACCTTGACCTCACTTTTCTTAAATAAGTGTCTAGATCACTTTTTAAATAAACAATTCAAGATATATTTATCAAACTTCATATGCTGATACTGCTAAGAGCTATCAATTGCATAAACGTTTTTGACCTTGACTTTTCCTTTGATCTTGACCTCACTTTTCTAAATTAATGTTTATCTACGTTTAAAATAAACCATTTATGATATTTTTATCAAACTTCATATGCTAATAGTAAATACATTTTCAAATGCATCAACATTTTGACCTCAACTTTTCCTTTGACCTTGAACTCTTTTTTCTTAAATAAGTGTTAAGCTCAGTTTTAAATAAATTATTCAAGATTTTTTTTATCAAACCTAATATGCTGAAATGTATTAGTGAGTGATATTCAACTGCATCAAAAAAAATTTTCACCTTGCACTTTCCTGTGACCTTGACCTCCCTTCTCTTCAATTTGTGTTTTGCTTAGTTTTAAAGAAACAATCTAAGATATTTTTATGTAAGCATGCATTTATACATAATTTGGTGAGAATTTATCATCTATATCCATTTCTTTTTTAGATTCTAGTTTCAATTTATTTGTCCTATGGACATATTTCTAGTTTTCAAATCTGATTGAACTCCGAGGATAGGGTCAGGCCACAATAAGGGATCAAGTTTTAAATAGGAATAAAAGGAAAAAATCTTCAAAATTCTTCTTTTTAAGAACAACAAAAGCATGATTAATATGGAAACACTCTCAAGAAGTGTAGATTCAAGTTTGTACAAATCATGACCCCATTGGTTAGGGAGGGGCCATTTTGTCCTGCCCCTATTTGCCATCCACATGGAAATGCAAATTTTAAAACCATTTTACACACCCACAGGATAAAATCGATCATCTTCCAAATGATCATGATTTAAGGCTATAGCATACAATATAAGGGAAGCTCTGAGAACCAGGGTGTTTAAACATGTTAAATATATTTTTTTTAAAAAGTTTGACCCCCAGGGTGAAAAAAAAATTCTGAAACCTTACTTCACATCTACATGACACCACCAACCATCTCCCAAAAGATGATTAGGCTACTGTGTAAATTGTAAGAGGAGTTCAGGGAACCAGGGACTTTTTGCATAAAAAAACCCCCCTCATTTTTCGACCCCCATTTGACCCCCAGGGTGATAATGAAAATTTCGAAAACTTTCTGCACATCTATATATATAAACACCACCAACCATCTCCCAAAAGATGATTAGGCTACTGTGTAAAATGTAAGAGTAGTTCAGGGAACCAGGGACTTTTTGCATTAAAAAACGTAATTTTTCGACGCCCATTTGACCGCTAAGGTAAAAATGAAAATTCCGAAACCTTACTGCTTATCTACATGACACCACCAACCATCTTCCAAAAAACATTAGGCTACTGTGTAAAATGTAAGAGGAGTTCAGGGAACCATGGGCTATTTGCATAAAAAAAAAGTCATTTTATGACCCCCATTTGACCCCCAGGGTGATAATGAAAATTTCGAAATCTTACTGCACATCTACATGACACCACCAACCATCTCCCATAAGATTATTAGGCTACTGTGTCAAATGTAAGAGCAGCTCATGGAACCAGGGGCTTTTTGCATAAAAAAACCCCTCATTTTTCGACACCCATTTGACCCCCAGGGTGATAATGAAAATTCTGAAAACTTTCTGCACATATATATGACACCACCAACCATCTCCCAAAAGATGATTAGGCTACTGTGTAAAATGTAAGAGGAGTTCAGGGAACCAGGGACGTTTTGCATTAAAAAAAACCTTATTTTTCGACCCCCATTTGACCCCCAGGGTAAAAATGAAAATTCCGAAATCTGACTACACATCTACATGACACCACCAACCATCTCCCAAAAGACATTAGGCTACTGTGTAAAATGTAAGAGGAGTTCAGAGACCAGGTACTTTTTCCATAAAAAAAACTTATTTTTCGACCCCCATTTGACCCCCAGGGTGAAAATGAAAATTTGCGAAACCTTACTGCACATCTACATGACACCAACCATCTCCCAAAAGATGATAAGGCTGCTGTGTAAAATGTAAGAGGAGTTCAGGAAACCAGGGGCTTTTTGCATTAAAACGTCATTTTTCGACCCCCGTTTGACCCCCAGGTTGAAAATGAAAATTCCGAAACCTTACTGCTTATCTACATGACACCACCAACCATCTTCCAAAAAACATTAGGCTACTGTGTAAAATGTAAGAGGAGTTCAGGGAACCATGGGCTATTTGCATAAAAAAAAGTCATTTTATGACCCCCATTTGACCCCCAGGGTGATAATGAAAATTTCGAAATCTTACTGCACATCTACATGACACCACCAACCATCTCCCATAAGATTATTAGGCTACTGTGTCAAATGTAAGAGCAGCTCATGGAACCAGGGGCTTTTTGCATAAAAAAACCCCTCATTTTTCGACACCCATTTGACCCCCAGGGTGATAATGAAAATTCTGAAAACTTTCTGCACATATATATGACACCACCAACCATCTCCCAAAAGATGATTAGGCTACTGTGTAAAATGTAAGAGGAGTTCAGGGAACCAGGGACGTTTTGCATTAAAAAAAACCTTATTTTTCGACCCCCATTTGACCCACAGGGTAAAAATGAAAATTCCGAAATCTGACTACACATCTACATGACACCACCAACCATCTCCCAAAAGACATTAGGCTACTGTGTAAAATGTAAGAGGAGTTCAGAGACCAGGTACTTTTTCCATAAAAAAAACTTATTTTTCGACCCCCATTTGACCCCCAGGGTGAAAATGAAAATTTGCGAAACCTTACTGCACATCTACATGACACCAACCATCTCCCAAAAGATGATAAGGCTGCTGTGTAAAATGTAAGAGGAGTTCAGGAAACCAGGGGCTTTTTGCATTAAAACGTCATTTTTCGACCCCCGTTTGACCCCCAGGTTGAAAATGAAAATTCCGAAACCTTACTGCACATTTGCATGACACCACCAACCATCTCCCAAAAGATGATTAGGCTACTGTGTAAAATGTAAGAGGAGTTTGAGAAAGAAGCGTGAGACAAACGGACGGACAGACATGAGTAACAACAATATACGCCAACTTTTTTTAGAAAGTGCGGGTATAAAAAATTTCATGTATGCAAACTTAAGCTCTTTTAACCTTTTAATGTATAGATGGTTTCCCATGGAGGTGATATAAGCAAGAGTTATTTCCCCATGGCTGCCATATTGTAGGTCAACATCACCAGATCCCTTCATTATTCAACCAAGTTCAAGAACTACGCACGCTAACTCTTGATTCGCGCCTTTATTTTACTCCTATTTAATTAAATACTAATGGCAATTTGGCCGTAAAATCTTTGTTGAATGCAAAGAACAGTTCAATAGTAATTGACTGATAATTTTGGTACCAGTGTTAAATAGTTAATTACCCCTAATTCTATTTCTTTCATTAAGGCGGGTAGGCGATATGTTTCATTGAAATCGGGCTTTAAAGCATCACCACATTTTAAAATATCCTTGGATATGAATAAATGTTCCTTAAATCTTTTTTTTTTATGATTGACTCATATCAAATTAAACATATATAATTATTAGTAAAATACCATGTTTTAGTTGTAAACCCCTTTGAGATTGGTGAAAAAATATGCATTTCTGCAGTTTTTTTTTGTCTGTAAACATACCCCCCCCCCTCTCCCGGGAAACACAAAAAGCTTTGGTATGAATTTGTGAAATGATAGTCCAAATTAACTATAAAAAGGAATTTTTGTTTCACGGGGGGAAAGATGTTTTAAAAATATTTTCCGTTTATTGCTCTGGTGAAAAACAACATTTTACCAAAATTATAAAAGTATATCTCTCTTTGTTATCCAAAAGAAGTAAATGTTTTATGAAAATTCATATAAATATCTACATAGACATTAAAAATCATTTAAATGTGTTAAATTTTAAAAATTTACTTGGAGGTAGGCGGAAGAAAAATACTATCTTTCGCAGTTCCTTGTTATACTGGGCACTGAGGTGAAGATTACACCGTTTTTTTTTTAATGAATATGCGTTTGTTAAAGCTTTTTTTACTTCATAATTTCAATATTGTAAATATTGTAAATATTATTCCCACATATGTCTGGTATTCATATTTAAAATTGGTCACTTAAAGAGGAAAATCCACTACTTTGATTTAAGGAATTTTTAAAACATTAAATAAACTTTATGCACAATAAGTTTAGTGAACTAGAGCAGAAAGTATTTTTATTTTTATATAGGGGCTATACGTACATGGAAATGTTGTTTTGGATCTGTTTTTTGGTATGTTTTCAGGTAGTCTTCCAGCGTTGCAGGGGTATTTCTCGAAGTAAGGTATTTCCTATTAAGAAAAAGAATAATTAATCAAAAGCATATTTCTTCTGGGTTCCAACAGTTTAGAAATGGAAACACTAACCGCATATTCGTGTTTGAAGCCATCGTCATCATCTCTTTGATTATGCTGAATAATACCCTCTAACGTATTTTTATTAAAACACATATCACCGTAAGAATTTTCTGCGTGGATTATTTCATCATCGTCAATATAATCGTTATCACCAAGCTCATTGTTTTCCTTTCCAGAATCCGAGTTTGATGTCATCGAAGAACCTTAAATAGATCAAATAATACATGCTGTTCTAAGTTCATCAAAGAACCTTAAATAGATCAAATAATACATGCTGTTCCAAATTCTGTTTCACTGACTTTAATAATAATAATACTGACAAATAAATAATAATGTAATATTTGATTCTTTAAATTTAAAAGAAACAAGTCAAAAAATTCAAAGAAAGCTTAACTCACTTTCCACAATAGATGAGTCTCTATCCTTTTTTGTAGTTCGTGATCTGCAATAAGAAGTTAAAGACATTACACTTTTACTCAATTCAAAATTCTGTCAACTTTGCTCTCCATTATTTTCAAATCGATATCAAATTATTAGAAGCGTTAAAGTGTTTCTTTTTCCATTCCATTGTCAAAAGTTCAAGCGAAGTATCAATGCAATCAATACCAATGCTTGTAAGTAGCAATCAAATGTTTTGATTGGATTGGCATTATATGTACGAGGGATGTCCCGATAAATCGCGAACATTTTCAATATTTTTTGTTTCACTTATATTGTAAAGTTAAAAATTGACATGCATTAAAATCAACATTTATATATATATATATATATATATATATATATATATATATATATATATATATATATATATATATATATATATATATATATATATGTGTGTGTGTAATGGTATTAAACACTAAACACAGAGTGAATTTGTACCACATAAAATTCATTATATTTTACCAGATATTTTTATAGTTGAGATTTTAACCCACCCCCCCCCCCCCTCTCAACATAAAAATATTACAAAGGAGTTAAAATCAACAAAAGAAAATAGAAAATAGAAAACAGAACAAAAACAATGTCTGACATTTATATGAAACTCCTTGGAGAAATCTTTATTAATTACTTGAATTGACTTTCTTACGCACTGATTAAACATATCATAAGAAAAACTAACAGTATATGTGCTTTATAATGTTTTTAAAATCACAAAATCAAAAGAGGTCATCTTCAGAAAATAAATGTAATTACACATCATAGAAGTGTCTTTTTTTTGTTGAAAATATAGCTCCAGTCTACTGATTTATTGCAGTATAAACTACCGTCTGATAACGATGACGGACAATACGAGAAGAATGAGGACAATTACAGCAACGATAATCCTTCCATAGACTGGCAGGGACGAGGCATTATTACTCTGTTTTATCTAAAAAAAAGTTCGAAAAGGTAGAATTAGACATTTAAATTAAGAAATCGCGTATATACTTAAAATTTAATAGGTTCAATAAACACCAACCTTTTGCCAATCCAAGCACGATTTTGATTCTGGACTTTTATCACTACAAACTAGAAAATAATAAAGGTGGTTTTTACTACCCTATGTACTGTTTATATAGAGTTACCTTTTAGACATTAATTTCTAATACAATCGATATCTGTGAAGCTGTGCGCAATCATCCGTAAGCCAAATATAGTCATATTCTAAACTTTGGAGAAAAGTGCTTTTTCAAAGAATCATTAATATCTATTAAGAAAATCAATCTAAGAAGGTATATTTCATACGGTAACAAACAATCGGTATGAAAAGAAAAGAACTGTTCATGTGATATACATCGCCTGTAATATATTAAACAGATTATGTAAGAAGATAAAAACAACTAAACAGATTACGTGATTCTTTTCATTAGAATTGGGTTGTCAATATGAATCAAACAAGAATAATTTGTTTTTAGGTTTTAGAATTAGTCATGAGAAATTACTACTAGTTGTGAAAGATGAAGTCTAAAGCAGTTTTAAAGGGCTGACTGTTTCTTACTTTCGACACAAAGAGATCCGTGGTATCCAATCAAACACCCTTCTAAACACGTTCCGTTGATATGGTGGCACTGCCTTTCATTTACACAATAGCCACAGGTTTTGTTGCAGTTAGCACCGTACATTCTGCTGTCACATTCTTTAAAATAGTATTTTTTGTTTTAATTTTAATAGAGGTGATGATGATTTAAGTCAAAACTTTTTTTCTGGTGTTTCAAAATCTACGGATAAACATCACAAATTAATCTTTTTTTTACAGATCAGCTTAAAAGTTTTTATTTGTTCTTTTTATAAATGATGTTTTTAATATGTCATACACTTAATGGGTTGAATATTTATATTTTAGTGTTGTACTTTGCATGCACTATGCCTAAATAGTAGTCAGGGTTTGACACATGGTGCACGAGCCGGAGGCGAGTGCACTATGCGTCAAATCTTGACTACTTTTTAGGCATAGTGCATGCAAAGTACAACACTATTGTTATTATTATGCTGACTGTTGTATAAAAACGACAATATTTTCTCCATTTCCAATGTTTCGTCAACTCTTACATTCATGATATTACACCCCTATTATGACGTCACGTTGTGCTACATGTACGTCATAATTTTTTTCTTTAATTTTGAATGTTCCATGCGTTAGGTATATGTACAGATAGTTTCAGAGAATTTTAGTTGAGTGAAGGGGAAAAAAATTGCAAGGAACTATTTTATAAAAAATATTTTGTTTTTTTTTTTTCTTTAAGTGTAAAATATTTGAAACTAAGTTTATATATATTATACTACAGTGCTTTAGATAACGGCGTCTGTGGTGTAATAGGTAGCGTATCGGAATGACAATCTCGGTGTCCTGAATTCGAGCCCCGGCGTAGGCGCTGTAGGATTTTCTTCAGAAAAAGAAGTCGTGCACTATTTCGGCATAGTATGCTTACGCTATATAAATCCTTAGAACACTATACGAAATAGTTAGGTATTGAATATATAGAGACAAACTGACAGGAAGCATTATAATTTAGGAATGATTCTAATTCTTGGCCAAATTATTCGAGTATAACCTGGTTTGGGTCAGTTTACGCTTTATAATCCGCGAAGCGGATAATAAAACAGCGTACACTGACCCAAACCAGGTTATACTCGAATAATTTAGCCAAGAATTAGAGTCATTCCTTATAATTTAATTTTAAAATCATTAAATAACTATTGGTTTAAAATTTCGTTGCTTTTTATTAGTTCAAATTTGCCGCTCAATAATACAACCGTAGTAACGGAAGTAACAGAATTGATGGGAGGCGAGGAGAGGTAAAAACTGATACACAGGCCTAGCAGCATTGTTGTTTGTTTACATGTGGAAAGATCGAATTGTTTGAAATTAACCCTCTGGCTGCGAGAAGGACATATATGTCCTTTTACCGCTCGCTGCGGCAGGGACATATATGTCCCTGACGACGTCATAAATTTTGAGGCGTCATTTCCCTCGAACTTTATTGAAATATATAATATTAAAACTATTTTTTGACTGCATTTTTTTGTTGAATTAAAAGATTTAAGAATTTTAAAGCTCCTGCCTTTTAAATCAAATTAAACGCTACAAATGTATTGTATAATTATTCATGTATTTGTTCATGCATGTGATTAAATCTAAAATACGCAAATGAAATTCTTTCTCACATGTGCATTTCAATTTAACATATACCTGTAAAGCTTAAATAATGGTAACAGTCCATTTTGTTGAGGAAAAAGTATAATCGTGTATGATAAAAAAAATTGTCCAGATATACAATAGTTATTTTTTTTTAACATTTCCAAATCAGAGCAAATGAAAATACCCCCCCCCCCCATTCATAGAGAAATTCGCTTTATAATTATATCATTTTCCCAAAATCATGTAATGTTTTCATTAACACATACAGTATAATTTTTCCGACATGGAAAAAATCTTCTTCGAAAATGATCCTATATTTGATCATTGAATCAGAATTCGACAGTGAAGAGGTTCCTCTGTCATCAGAGAGAATATGGACAGATCTAGGAGTAGCTACGATGTGTGAATGATTTTGCTTATTCGCATGCGACGAAACGATTTTCCCGACACATGGGCTCTGTTAACCCACCTTACGTCGAAGTCCCCAAGATGAATATTTAAATTCCTCGCCCTGATATATAATTTAGAAATTATCTGTACCTGGTCAATTTAGAAGTTTTATACATTTTCTTGGAAAAGAAAACAAATCACTATGCTGACCATGTTCTATATTCGCAACATGAGCTAAGGCCCTATTCAAGTAAATTATCTCTACAGTATGTTTCTCCATTGCAGTGATAATGCAACATATATCCCGTGTGGGACCTCTGGATATGACCTAACGCACAAGTCAAGTACTGGACCTTATAGATAAGTACTATTAGTACATTTCCAGTTCGTCGAGCTATTACATGTATGATATGCATGTATATCGAGTATGTTTCTGTTAAAATTGCTGATGTATAAAGCAGTAGGTCCTGATTGCATCAGCCATAAAATGTTAAAATCTTGCAAAGACACTATCTCAAAACCTTTGTCTATACTATTCAACAAATCCCTAACACTAAAATCTTTTCCAGACTGCTGGAAACTAGCACATGTTCTTCCACTATTTAAGAAAGATGACCCTTCCATCACTACAAATTATAGACCAGTTTCTTTGCTGAGCTGTATAAGCAAACTTTTTGAAAGAATCATTTTTAAACATGTATACAATTTCTTGTATTCACATAATATATTTTATAAATATCAAGCAGGTTTTTTACCAGGTCATTCCACAGTATATCAACTTTTAGAAACATACCACTCTATAGTAAAAAGTATTGATGAAGGTAAATTCTGTTGTATGGTGTTTTGTGATTTATCCAAGGCATTTGATAGAGTCTGGCATAAAGGCTTAATTTACAAACTAAAAATGTATGGAATCAATGGTGATATGCTAGATTGGTTTGATAGTTATTTAAGCAATAGAACACAACAAGTCATGTATAGAAATCAATTTTCCTCTGTAGGACATGTAAAAGCTGGAGTTCCTCAGGGCTCAGTACTTGGTCCTTTGTTATTTTTACTGTATGTAAATGATGTGGCTGAAAATATGATATCTGTTTGTAGATTATATGCTGATGATAATTCCTTACAACAATGTTCAGATAATATTAATCATATTGAACAAAATCTTAACCATGATCTTAGAATACTAGA